TAAAATTGTAAGTTAGGTTGACATATTTTTTTAGCTCAGAGTTGAATTGACTCATTAAAACGATTTACTGCATGTTTGGAACTGTTTTCCATTCATTTTCTTGTCGGCTTAGTCCCTTTATTAATCTGGGGTCGCCACAGCGGAATGAACCGCCAACTTATCCAGCACGTTTTATGCAGTAGATGCCCTTCCAGCCGCAACCCATCTCTGGGAAACATCCACACACAATCATACACTATGGACAATTTAGTCTACCCAATTCACCTGTACTGGATGTTTTCAGACTGTGGGGGAAACCGCAGCACCCGGAGGAAACCCACGCGAACGCAGGGAGAACATGCAAACTCCACAGAGAAACGCCAACTGACCCAGCCGAGGTTCAAACCATCGACCTTCTTGCTGTGAGGCGACAGCACTACCTACTGTGCCACTGCGTTGCCCTGTTTGTTCAATGAAAGAAAAAAATTAGTTGAGGAAACGATTGAAGTTTGATTTCTTTACTTGAGCGTTTACCACTGTAAAAAAATAAATAAAATAAGTTAACTTAAATTTTTAAAGCAACCCGCTGCAAAGAAAGTTTTGAGTTTATTAAGCTTCAGTGGTTGAAGTTGTTTCAAATTATTCAGTAAAGTATACTCGACTTGAAGCAGCTTTTTCAGTCAACTTAAATAAATTATTTCAACCAATGAAGCTTAATAAACTCAAATTTTCGTCTTTTTCAAGGACACAGCTGCTTTAGAACTTAAATGGGGGGAATTGAAGAGTAAAAAGTTAAAGGGTAGCTAAGTCTCCAACACTATTCTTTAAAACACCCAACCCAGGCTCATTCTAAAAATGTAGTCCCGTGGACGTTTCTAGAGACCGCAAAATACGTGGCCAGAGGTACCTGCCGTTCCTTTCGGCACTTGCCGGCCGACCGCTCACCTCCATGTGGAGGGCTTTCCTGCCGCAACCAGTTTGTCCAGTAAACTTATCGTGTACGTGGCTGGACTGGAGGTGCAGAAATGGGCTGACCACGACGACGACCAGGTTCGAGTCCGGGGAAGAGCGGTTCCAGAAATCAGATAAGAAAACAAAAACAACATCCAAAAAATAAAGCGAATGATTTCAAAATGTGTTAAAAATCCGAAAATGTGGTAAAAATCAGACGAGGGCTTTTCTTTTTCTGACCGTTTTTTTTTTTAATCGTCGTTGGTTGGGTTTAGGAAGGAGGAGGGTGGGTCAGCAAATTGGCCAGTCGCACGGTCAATCATTCTGTCATTCAGACAGACAGGCGGAAGGTCGTTCCGATAGCGGACTCCAGTGGGATTACGCGAGAACAGCGCGGACGCGAACGGCGCTTGCGAGAGACATTCAAGACACGAAAAAGCATGCACAGCAGCTCTTGTGCATTCGCGAAAACAAAAACTGCAAAAATACGTACCCCTTTTACGTATTTCGCAGCCTCCAGAAACGTCCGCGGGACTACGCTTTCTTAAACGAGAGAGTCTGGGTTGAAAACATCATAGTGTCGTTTCCTGAATATATAGTCTGTGCTAAATTCTTTATAGATATCCAGTCCTTTGTAACGGTGGTCACACAAAAAATAAAAATAAAATATGTACACCTACATAAGCAACCCAGTATTATATGTCGTGAAAAAAAAATTACTCGCGTTCGAACTCGCAATGCAACGTGCTGACCACTTGACCACAATAGCACTGTTATGTTGGTGCGTTTGGAGTAAAAAATATTGCACTGTTACCTGCAAGACTCTTTTAACAACAGTATTACTTTCTATAGATGGCTTAATCTTTTTCCTCTTTTTAGATTTCTGATCAAGTTATGCCTGTAACGCATGGAGTGACACTGACAACTGAGGATTGGATCCACATGCAGGTTTATTCGGATAGTCAGGCAAGCAATGGTCAGCACAGGTGCAAACAGATGTATAGAGGCAGTCCAGAATCGTAATCAGATAACAAACAAGAGGTCGTAAGGCAGGCGGCAGACTAGGACAAACGGCTAACAAGGTCTAAACAGAGGAAACCAAGACAAGGTTAACGCGTTGTAATGTCACTTTACAGCTAACAAGACTCGGCCATGTAAATGAATGTGTGTGCTGCTTAAGTAGTGTGTGTAATCAGTCTTTGAGCAGCATCAGCTGTGTGTATGCAATCAGTCAGGATCTGGAACCGGTTGTGTATGTGGAGCATGACTGGTTCTTGTAGTCCATTTATCAGCAGATTTGTAGTTCATGTGGATGTGAGTGTTTGCCAGCGACCTCTGGTGGTTTGATCGCTGGTGAACATGACAATGCCAGATTTAATAATGTTGTGAATCATCTGATTTTCATTGAGGAGGTGTAATATTCATAATCTGGTAGCAAAATCTGATAGGTAGGAGAACACCGGCAATGCAAACCAAATTCCTGCTCTGTTCGTACAAGGATAAGACAGCCCTTAACAGAGCCTTTGACCCTATACTCCCGCCACACAATATTGTTTTCAAATGTTCCCTATCATCCGTTTAAGTTTTTATTCTGTTTGAATTTCAAAAGCTAATTCATGACACATTAATTAGCATGGTTACGTACTTCAAAATATCTCAGTTTCACCCATCCTTTAAGGAGTGCTTTTAAAATGAACTTGCAATGCCTCTGCAGTCTCTCCAGCAAGTAATGACCTGAATGTCAGTTTCTTTTATGCGCAAGGACACGCACTTGAGAATCTTCATTAATGCTCTGAATGTTAATACAAGGGAATAGGGGACATCCTTTCAGATGCTTCACCTTGTTTGACCCATATTAAAGTTTAGGAATATTCATTCGTGGATTGTTTTATTAAAAGTGTAACTAGAAATGATTTTCAGGACAAACCTTTGAGGCCAGATTAATTCATCTCAGCACGTCTCCCAGGAGCGACACACTAGGAGATCCAGTGAATTAATTGATATTGCTGTTCCAGCTACTTTGCTTGAATCAAAAAAAGGCTTTTGTGTTTCAGATACCAAGTTAATTCAGTCTTCAAGCTTTCGGGGTGTTTTATATGTAAGTGTCTGTGGTGGTTTCATTACAATGAATATTTCTAAAGGTGTTATTAAAAAAAGTTTGTATATAGAAAGTACATTTCAAGTCCTGGATATTTATGGATGTTGAACATTACCAATGTTATTGATTAGAAAAAAAATATGATATAAAAAAAACAGTTCTCAATCATCAGAACAATGAAAGTATAATATTTATTCATTTATTCATTCATTTTCTTTTCAGCTTAGTCCCTTTAATATTCTGGGGTCTCCACAGTGGAATGAACCGCCAACTAATCCAGCATATGTTTCATGCGGATGCTCTACCAGCTGCAATAAATTCCATTTATCTTACCCAATTCACCTATAGCACGTCTTTGGACTTGTGAGGGGGAAACACCCGGAGGAAACCCATGCGAACACTGGGAGAACATGCAAACTCCACACAGAAATGCCAACTGACCCAGTCGAGGCTCGACCAGTGACCTTCTTGCTGTGCGGTGATTGTGCTACCTGCGTCAGCGTGGCGCCAAGTACAGTATAATACTGTAAATGGCTACTTATTTAACAGAAAATAACAACTTTCATACATTTCTAAATGTGAACCACTAATATAGTCACCGGCCACTTTATTACGTACATCTGTCCAACTGCTCGTTAATGCAACTTTCTAATCAGCCAATCACATGGCAGAAACTCAATGCATTTAGGCATGTAGACATGATCAAGACGATCTGCTGCAGTTCAAACCGAGCATTAGAATGGGGAAGAAAGTGAGTGACTTTGAACATGGCATGGTTGTTGGTGTCAGAAGGGGTGGTCTGAGTATTTCAGAAACTGCTGATCTACTGGGATTTTCATGCACAAACATCTGTAGGGTTTACAGAGAATGGTCTGAAAAAAAGGAGATATCCAGTGAGCGGCAGTTCTGTGGGTGCAAATGCCTTGTTGATGCCAGTGGTCAGAGGAGAAGGACTGGATCCAGCTGAAAGGAAGGCAACAGTAACTCGAATAAGCACTTCTGACCTTGAGGCGGATGGGCTACAGCAGCAGAAGACCACACCGGGTGCCACAACTGTTAACTAAGAACAGGAAACTGAGGCTACAATTTGCAGACTCACCAAACTTGGACAATAGAAGGAAAACTAGGAAACGTTTAGGAAATTAGGAAAACGTTGCACAAATGCCACAAAGAATTAAGGCAGTTCTGAAGGCAAAAGGGGTTCCAACCCGATACTAATAAGGTGTACCTAATAAAGTGGCCGGTAAGTGTATGTCAACGTGTAACAATAATTATAGAGCAAAAATGATTGTCCGATTGCCCAATATATTTATAACAACAATTGCTGACTTATTAAAACACTATTTAACAATCAGTAAAGCTCTAAAATGCTAATTTGTTGTGATTGTAAAACACTATACTTCGCCACTCTTTAAACCTTTACCTAATTGTCAAAAAGACATTTTAAATCATTTTCAATAAGAGTAACATAATTAATATTGCTTATTTTTACATATATTTATTAATTAAAAGTTTGCATATCTATTACAAAAATGAAGATCAAACATTAATTTATATCACAAAGTTGTTTGTAACATCAGACACTTTTTTTTGCATTTTATATGCTTTCTGTTTGTATAAAATGTAATTTGATGGAGATACAAAAATAGGACATTCTATTTAAAGTCAGTAAAAACAAATGACCAAAATAAATAAATAAATAAATAAATAAAATAAATGTTTGTTTGCATTCAGAATATTGTCAGCTTCAGAAATTGTTTATCATTGTCTGAATTATTTTAACCCAAGTAAAAATAAAATGTTTTGCATTAAGAAATAACATTTAAAAACTATTTCAGATTAATCATTTGTTGCATATTTTAATGAGTAATGTGTCAAATTCCTCTTCGACTACATTCATTACTTTATTACTGCACTCTAAAACTAGGATTAGAGCATCTTAAACGAATGATTTCCCTGCAGATTTAATTTAATCTTCATGTAAACAAGTAATGAAGAACTGACAGACATTTTATGTCAACATCTTTATCATCAGGCCTTTTCATATGGTTTTGTTCTGATGTCATGTCATCAAGTTAAAAGCATGTAGTTCTTTAATGAAAGCATCCCCATGTGGCAGCTCGGGTGTTCGCTATAAAAGCACAGTGTTGCTCCAGGAGCGCTCATTCAGGTGCGGGGAGTCGAGCAGAGCGGAGAGACGCGCACTCACAGCGCGCTTTAAATCTGTGACTAAACACATTAGGATCGCGTGCTGAACCTGTAGGATGACTTTTAGGAAAACATCTCTGTAGCGCATGGAATATTATAAAAATCGTTTGGATGCGTAAAGCCGTGCCATGCAGGGGAACAGCAGCGCGTTGGCACCGGGTTTAGCGTCGTGCGGTCCGGCTTTATATGAGAGCGATGCGCTGCAGAACCGGACTCTCCAGAACCTGTCCCTGCGCTGCTGGCTGCAGCTGCTCTCCAGAGAGTCCGCGCCGGAGCTCTACGGCGACAGCTCCAGCATGGCCATGCGCGTCGTGATCGCGCTCGTCTACCTTATCGTGTGCGCGCTGGGGCTCGTCGGGAACCTGTTGGCGCTTTACCTGCTCCAGTCGCGCCACAGACTCAAGCAGTCCTCCATCAACTGCTTCGTCATGAGTTTGGCCGTGACCGACCTGCAGTTCGTCCTGACGCTTCCCTTCTGGGCCGTGGACACCGCTCTGGACTTCAGATGGCCGTTTGGGAAGGTGATGTGCAAGATCATCAGCTCGGTCACCACTATGAACATGTACGCCAGCGTCTTCTTTTTGACGGCCATGAGCGTGGCGCGCTACTGCTCTCTGTCCTCTTCTTTGCGCATGCAGAGTCCCAAAACAGCCTCGGCGGAGGTCAAGTGGGCTAGTTTGGGGATTTGGATCGTGTCTGTGGTGGCCACCATCCCGCACGCCGTGTACTCGACTACCGCGCAGGTGTCCGACGACGAGCTGTGCCTCGTGCGCTTTCCGGACTCGGGTAGCTGGGACCCGCAGCTGCTTCTGGGTCTTTATCAGACACAAAAGGTGCTTTTGGGTTTTGTGATCCCACTGGTCATCATATGTGTGTGTTACCTGCTCCTTCTGCGCTTCGTCCTGCGGCGGCGGGTAACCGGGATCCCCGGCTCGGAGAGCGAGAGAGGGAGGCACAAGCGCCGCTCCAAAGTCACCAGATCGGTTACCATCGTGGTCCTGTCCTTCTTTCTGTGCTGGCTGCCCAACCAGGCGCTTACCATGTGGGGGGTGCTGATCAAATTCGACCTAGTGCCGTTCAGCAACGCGTTTTATAACGCGCAAGCCTACGCGTTCCCCATCACCGTGTGCCTGGCGCACACCAACAGCTGCCTGAACCCGGTGCTGTACTGTCTGATCCGGCAAGAGTACCGCACTGGACTCAAGAAGCTGCTGTTTAGAGCCACGCCGTCCATCCGGAGCCTGGCCAAACTGGTGTCCCGCGGGAAGAAGGTGGCGGAGGCTCCGGCCGGGGTGGCCGTGGTGCAGATGGAGATCGGTATGTGACGTCAGGATAAAGAGATCCACTTTGAACTTTTAAACGCATCTTTGTATACCTCTGCTCCGCGACACGGATTGGCAAATATCAGACATTAATGACACAAAATGAAATGATTTTACTGGTTCAAAGTTTGGACACATTTTCTGATAAAGGCATATTGCGTTTTTATTATTATTATTTATACACTCTTCAAAAATAAATGTTCCAAAAAAAAAAAAAAAAGAGTTTTCCATAGAGAATTTTGGTTCCTCGAATGACATTTCCTATTAGAATTGATTTTAGTTTGTAAAAATAAATATTTGAATGTTCTAAAGAAGATTTAATAGATGATAAAGTGCTCTGTGGAACCATCAATGCCAGTAAGGGCGTTTATTCTTAAGAGTGTATTCGTTTTCCATAATAGCATGAACAGCTACTTTTTAAAAAGCTGAAACAATAAATTTTGTTTATGTATTTATTTAAAACGTTGAACCAAAGTTGGCAAAGTAAAAGCCAACAAATGTTTCGCATGTTGCTTTATCGATAAACAGTTTAAACTCTTCTTTTTATTGCTTTATAGTTTTAATTAATATAATTATACAACAATTTTTTATAACATTTCTATTTATAATTTTTTTAATATGAAAATGTAAACCTATGCTAATACATAATTAGCACATTTTTCGCTATTTCACTGTGATCATGTGTTTTCATAGTTCTTAAACAGCAAAATAATGATTTGCAAATAAATAATAAATAGAGCTTTTTCTTCACCCCTAAAAAATATTTCTACTTCTCAATTTCAAATATTTTTTTGTAATAACTGGACTCAAGTGGTGGCGCAGAGGGTAGCACTGTCGCTTCACAGCAAGAAGGTCGCTGGTTTGAGCCATGGCTGGGTCAGTTGGCATTTCTGTGTGGAGTTTGCTTGAGCTCCCCATGTTGTCGTGGGTCGAAAGACATGTGCTATAGGTGAATTGGGTAAGCTAAATTTTCAGTAGTGTATGTGTGTGAAGAAATGTGTATGGGTGTTTCCCAGTGATAGGTTGCATCTGGAAGAGCATCCGCTGCATAAAACATATGAGGCATAAGTTGGCGGTTCATTCCGCTGCTGCGAACTCTGATTAATAATGAGACTAAGCCGAAAAGAAAATGAATGAATGAATGAATTAATGAATGAATGAACCGGACTGAAGCAGTTTCCTTTTACTGGAACTTCATGTTAAGCTGCTTTGACACAATCTTCATTGTTAACCGCACAATAGAAATAAAGATGAATTGAATGAATTGATATTGGCATTCAGCCTAATCTATTGAATACATGGACGGTAGGAATGATGACAACATTGACATCTTTTTCTCTCTTTTAAGAAGAGCTATCCTGGTTTTTTTTCTTTTGCTAAACAAACACAAAAAGTATATCTGCTGTAGTTTCCACTAGACGTTTATTCACTTCTGAGATCCTTGAATTAATAATAAAAAATAATCGGAAACTCATAAAATAAAGAAGTGTGTCCAAACTGCTGGCCGGTACTGTGAGATGAGACCTTGATAACTGAATCTATTGCATGGAAACATTCAAGCCTTTCAAAACATCAACATTTACAGTATGAACAGTGTCTATTCAAGCTGAACTAGGACTGGATTTTTCTCCAGGACTGAAGAGTTTATTCTCTGCTGCTGGAGGAAAAAGGACAGGAGGATATTGACTGAAGCTGGAGGACCTTTAATAAGCCATGAGGAGCGAAAACTGTCCTTGAGCTTTTTGTTTTGTTCAGTGCATTTTCTGTACCATCTCTGGATATTTCCACAGCATGACACATGCAAACTACACACAACATAATGCTGTCTTTTTGACGAGTTTCAAATCAAGTGTCACTTTTGGAAGAATTGTTTAAATGTAATTCTCGCACATGTGAATTATTTTGACGATAAATCAATTGCAATAGTTCATTTGGCTGAACTGTGTATGGCTCAGTGTAAATAAAAACAAAATGTTCCAGGGCAAAAATGCCATTTTATGTTGATTGCATTTGGTTTAAAGGATCTGCGTGAATGAAAGTAAGTTTGCCACATTTAAAAAATAATTACTAAAAATACTTGAGCTGAAAGAACACAATTTTTCAGTTTTTTTATGCTCAGTCCACTTTAATGTGTGAAAACCGTGGATGAATTGTGCAGAACCCTGCATTTTGTACAGTGCAGGGGCCTCATCAACGCTGAGAACAAACAAAAACTTTGCGTACGCCAGGTTTCACGCTCACGTTTGGATTTACTAACGATGAAATGAACGTGAGAATGTGCGTTGGTCCGCGCCAACTTCATGCCTGGCGTAAGTGCATTTCTTGTGTGTGTTTGTTTTATTTCCAATGGCGACTCCTAGAGGAAATTATGTTGAATTGCACACTACAAAGTATCTTTGCTCCATGCAAGGGCTGCTTAATGGCATGGGATCATCCGCATGTCTAGCAGCTATATAAGGTTTTCATATCATACAGTTGACAAGCCAAACATTAAAGCACAATTTATGATCGCTGGTTTTCCCAATGTAATCGGATTGATCAACTGCACGCACATTGCTATAAAGGCGCCATCTGAAGTCGAATTTGCATACTAGAATATAATGTAATGTATTTTTTTATTTAATGCCATGTCAGCAACCAAGGCTATCTTCATGGCAGGAATCTTTCAACAAAAAAATATACAATTTAAAAATCAACAAACAAAATAAAACATAAATTAGATTTAGATTTTTTGTGTTAATACATGATAAAAATTCTAAAATCTTTTCTGGTTTCACTTTGTCAAAAATGTCCTTAAAAGATTTCATTTCAAAAAAAGTCCTTCTGGAATCAGTAAAAGTAGGACAGTCCAGAAAAATATGTTTTATAGTAAGAGGAGTTTTGCTGCATACTAAAATCAGAAACATTTCCATTCAATAAATGTGCAAATAATATGTGATGCTCAAATGCGCTTAACATAATACACACTTATTAATGATTCCTACTTGTCTTCCTTGTGATGAAGAGTAGGCAAAATCTGATAAGTAATGGGGAAAAAATAAGATTGAATTAATCAGATGCTGGATTCGAACCAGGTTTATGAATGATATCGTCAAGACATGTTGTTCTTGTGTGTGTTTGTTTTATTTCCATTGGCGACTCCTAGAGGCAGTTGTGTTAAATTGCACACTACAAAGTATCTTTGCGCCATGCAAGAGCAGCTTTATGGCATGGGATCATCCGCATGTCTAGCAGCTATATAAGGTTTCCATATCATACAGTTGACCAGCCAAACATTAAGCGCAATTTACAGTGATTGGCGGTTTTCCCAATGTAATCCGATCGATCGACTGCACGCACATTGCTATAAAGGCGCCATCTGAAGTCGAATTTGCATACGTGAATAAGAAACTTTTCCATTCAATAAATGTGCAAATAATAAGTGATGCTCAAATGCGCTTAGCATAATACACACACTTATTAATGATTCCTACTTGTCTTCCTTGTGATAAGGAGTAGGCAAAATATGACAAGTAATGGGGAAAAAATAAGATTGAATTAATCAGATGCTGGATTCGAACCAGGTTTATGAATGATATCATCAAGACCAACACAATCTCACGGCAATTCGTAACTTTTTCATTTAGAGGCTAATTCGTATGAATTCGTACGATCTAATTCGTACAATTAAGTACGATTTGCTTATCCCCCAATGACGGTTGGGGTTAGGGGTGGGGTCAGGTGCCACGCCCCCTTTTAAAATCGTGCCATTTCGTACGACTGAACTCGTACGAATTAGCCACTAAACTGGCAAAACGTAAAATACTTACGTTTTCTCGTGAGATCAGGCTGTCAAGACATGTTGCCCTGCGCTTAACGAGTTACGCTACTCGCGCTGGTAATATTCGCTCTCTTTAGCTTTGTTATCTGTCGATAAAACAGGCGATGATCTTTCAACTAGCTCATTTCAACGACAAACTTGCAAATCACATCGTTTTTCTCCGGTCTGAGGAGCACCTCCAGTTCTCATTCTGTTCAAAGTTTCTCTTTTTGCTTGCTTTTGCCATTGCTTTTTCATTTGGTTTTGGCAAAGTAGAGTCATTTCAATATTTATTAGGGGGAGGAGGCAGGGAGGGGTTTTGCGCTTGTGCACGTGCACTCAGTTTCACTTTAATTCAGATGTACAAAGAGAAAATGCGTGGGATTCCGAATTTTTTACTGCGTAGGCACATTTACAGCTTTGTGCAAACGCAATGTTTTAGTAAGAATTCAACACAAGTCTTCGTACATGAGGCCCCAGGGGCTTCATGTATCAACGCTGCGTACGCACAAAAACTTTGCTTACGCCAGGTTTTACGCTCACGTTTGGATTTACTAACGTGCATTTCTTGTGTGTGTTTGTTTTATTTCCATTGGCGACTCCTAGAGGCAGTTGTGTTAAATTGCACACTACAAAGTATCTTTGCGCCATGCAAGGGCAGCTTAATGGCACGGGATCATCCGCATGTCTAGCAGCTATATAAGGTTTCCATACCATACAGTTGACCAGCCAAACATTAAAGCACAATTTATGATCGCTGGTTTTCCCAATGTAATCGGATCGATCAACTGCACGCACATTGCTATAAAGGCGCCATCTGAAGTCGAATTTGCATACTAGAATATAATGTAATGTATTTTTTTATTTAATGCCATGTCAGCAACCAAGGCTATCTTCATGGCAGGAATATTTCAACAAAAAAATAAACAATTTAAAAATCAACAAACAAAATTAAACATAAATTAGATTTAGATTTTTTGTGTTAATACATGATAAAAATTCTAAAATCTTTTCTGGTTTCATTTTGTCAAAAATGTCCTTAAAAGATTTCATTTAAAAAAAAAGTCCTTCTGGAATCAGTAAAAGCAGGACAGTCCAGAAAAATATGTTTTATAGTAAGAGGAGTTTTGCTGCATACTAGAATCAGAAACATTTCCATTCAATAAATGTGCAAATAATATGTGATGCTCAAATGCGCTTAACATAATACACACTTATTAATGATTCCTACTTGTCTTCCTTGTGATGAAGAGTAGGCAAAATATGACAAGTAATGGGGAAAAAATAAGATTGAATTAATCAGATGCTGGATTCGAACCAGGTTTATAAATGATATCGTCAAGACATGTTGTTCTTGTGTGTGTTTGTTTTATTTCCATTGGCGACTCCTAGAGGCAGTTGTGTTAAATTGCACACTACAAAGTATCTTTGCGCCATGCAAGAGCAGCTTTATGGCATGGGATCATCCGCATGTCTAGCAGCTATATAAGGTTTCCATACCATACAGTTGACCAGCCAAACATTAAGCGCAATTTACAGTGATCGCCGGTTTTCCCAATGTAATCCGATCGATCGACTGCACGCACATTGCTATAAAGGCGCCATCTGAAGTCGAATTTGCATACGTGAATCAGAAACTTTTCCATTCAATAAATGTGCAAATAATAAGTGATGCTCAAATGCGCTTAACATAATACACACACTTATTAATGATTACTACTTGTCTTCCTTGTGATGAAGAGTAGGCAAAATATGACAAGTAATGGGGAAAAAATAAGATTGAATTAATCAGATGCTGGATTCGAACCAGGTTTATGATTGATATCGTCAAGACCAACACAATCTCACGGCAATTCGTAACTTTTTCATTTAGAGGCTAATTCGTATGAATTCGTACGATCTAATTCGTACAATTAAGTACGATTTGCTTATCCCCCAATGACGGTTGGGGTTAGGGGTGGGGTCAGGTGCCACGCCCCCTTTTTAAAATCGTGCCATTTCGTACGACTGAACTCGTACGAATTCGTACGAATTAGCCACTAAACTGGCAAAACGTAAAATACTTACGTTTTCTCGTGAGATCAGGCTGTCAAGACATGTTGCCCTGCGCTTAACGAGTTACGCTACTCGCGCTGGTAATATTCGCTCTCTTTAGCTTTGTTATCTGTCGATAAAACAGGCGATGATCTTTCAACTAGCTCAT